ACCCTTCAAGACTGACCTGGAAGTAACAGAAAATCTGAACAAACCTATTACCAGCAGTGAAATAGATTTAGTTATCAAAAACTATCTAAGAACAAAACCCATGGCCTAGATGGCTTCATGGCTGAATTTTTTTTTATTAATATATCACTGATATATAATCTTATGAAGGTTTCACATGAGCAACTCTCTGGTTATAACATTCACCCATATTATCAAGTGCCCCAACTTTATTGCAATCACTGTCCAATAGTGTAGTAAGATTTCACAGCTGAATTTTATCAAAACATTTAAAGAAGAAGTAATACCCATTCTTCTTAAAGTTTTCCAAAAAGTAGAAGAGGAGGTAATACTTTCAAACTCATTCTGTGAAGCCAGCATCACTCTAATACCAAAACCAGACAAAGACAGCACAAAAAAAGAAACAGGCCAATATGCCTGAAGAACATAGATGCAAAAATACTCAACCAAATAAGAGCAAACTGAATTCAAAAATACATTAAAAATATAATGCATCATGATCAAGTGGGATTTATTCCAGGGATGCAAGTATGGTACGATATTCAAAAATCAATCACCATACACCATGTCAACAAAAAGAACAAAAATCTCACAATTATCTTGATAGATGCTGAAAAAGCATTTGACAAAATTCAACATCCATTCATGATAAAAACTCTCAACAATATGGGTATAGAGGGCAAGCACCTCAACATAATAAGGGCCATATACGACAAACCCACAGCCAACATAATACTTAACAGTAAAAAAGCTGAAAGTTTTTACTCTAAGATCGGGAACAAGACAAGGATGTCCACTCTCCCCACTTTTATTCAACATAGTACTGGAGGTTCTAGCCACAACAATCAGATCACACAAAGAAATAAAAGGCATCTAGATTGGTAAGGAAGAAGTTAAACTGTTACTGTCTGCAGATGACATGATATCGTACATAAAAAACCCTAAAGAATTCACCGCTAAACTACTACAACTAATATCTGAATTCAGCAAAGTTGCAGGATACAAAATTAACACACAGAAATCTGTTGCATTCCTATATACTAACTATGGACTAGCAAAAGAGAAATCAGGAAAACAATTCCATTTAAAATAGCATCAAAAAAAAAATACCTAGGTATAAACCTATCAAGGAGATGAAAGACCTATATGCTGAAAACTACAAGACACTCATGCGAGAAATTAAAGAGGACACTAATAAATGGAAATATATGCTGTGCTCATGGATAGGAAGAATTAATATTGTCAAAATGGCCATCCTGCCTAAAGCAATCTATAGATTCAATGCAATCCCTATCAAAATACCAACAGCATTCTTTAACAAACTTGAACAAGTATTTCTAAAATTTATATGCAATCACAAAAGACCCCGAACAGCCAAAGCAATCCTGAGAAGAACAAAGTTGGGGGAATGGCACTCCCCAAATTCAAGCTCTACTACAGAGCCACAGTAATGAAAATAATTTGGTACTGAAAACAAGAACAGACCCATAGATCAATAGAACAAAACGAAGAGCCCAGATATTAACCCACACATATATGGCCAATTAATATATGATAAAGGAGCCATGGATATACAATGAGGAAATGACAGCCTCTTCAACAACTGGTGTTGGCAAAACTGGACAGCTACATGTAAGAGAATGAAACTGGATTACTGTGTAACTCCATACACAAAAGTAAACTCAAAATGGATCAAAGACCTGAATGTAAGTCATGAAATCATAAAACTCTTAGAAGAAAACATAGGCAAAACTCTCTTGAATATAAACATGAGCAACTTTTTCCTGAACACATTTCCTCAGGCAAGAGAAACAAAAGCAAAAATGAACAAATGGGACTACATCAAACTAAAATGCTTCTGTACAGCAAAAGATACCATCAGTAGAACAAAAAGGCATCCTACATTATGGGAGAATATATTCATAAATGACATATCCAATAAGGGGTTAACATTCAAAATATATAAAGAACTCACATGTATCAAGACCCAAAAAGCAAATAACCCTATTCAAAAATGGGTGGAAGATCTGAATGGACACTTCTCCAAAGAAGAAATTCAGATAGCCAACAGGCACATGAAAAGATGCTCCGCATTACTAATTATCAGGGATATGCAATTAAAACCAAATGAGATATCACCTCACACCAGTTAGGATGGCCACCATCCAAAAGACAAGCAACAACAAATGCCGGTGAGGATGCAGAGAAAGGGGAACCATCCTACACTGCTGGTGGGAATGTAAGCTAGTTCAACCATTGTGGAAAGCAATATAGAGGTTCCTCAAAACACTAGAAATAGAAATGCCATTTGACCCAAGAATTCCACTCCTTGGAATTTACCCAAAAAAAAACAACTCCTCAGATTCAAAAAGACATATGCACCTCTATGTTTATCGCAGCACTATTTACAATAGCCAAGATATGGAACAACCTAAGTGTCCATCAGTAGATGAATGGATAAAGGAGATGTGGTGCATATACTCAATGGAATATTATTCAGCCCATAAGAAAAACGCAAATTCTACCACTTGCAACAATATGGATGGAGCTAGAGGGTATTATGCTCAGTGAAATAAGCCAGAGAAAGACAAGTGCCAAATGATTTCCCTTATTTGTGGAGTATGACAACAAAGCAAAGACGAAGGATCAAAACAGCAGCACATTAACAGAACCCAAGAAGACACTAGGGGTTCCCAAACGGAAGGGAATGGAAGGGTGGGTTGGGGAGGGAGGGAGAAGCGGCTTAAGGGGCATTATGATTAGCACACATAATGTAGGTGGGTCAGGGGGAAGGCAGCATAGTACAGAGAAGACAAGTAGTGACTCTATAGTGTCTTATGATGCTGATGAATAGTGACAGCAATGGGGTGTGTGTGTGTGACTTGATAATATGGATGAATGTAGTAACCACAATGTTGCTCATGTGAAACCTTCATAAGATTGTATATCAATGATACCTTAGTAAAAAAAATGCCTCACAACTGCATGCATCAGTTGCTTCTCTGGCAAACCAAAAAAAAAAAAGAGAGAGAAACCATAAAACTCTTAGAAGAAAACATAGGCAAAAATCTCTTCAATATAAATACGAGCCACTTTTTGCTGAACACATCTCCTCGGGCATGAGAAACAAAAGGAGAAATGCACAGATGGGGCTACATCAAACTAAAAAGCTTCTGTACAGCAAAGGACACCATCCGTAGAACAAAAAGGCACCCTACAGTATGGGAAAATATATTTGTAAACTACATATTCGACAAGAGATTAACACCCAAAATATATAAAGAGCTCACATGCCTCAACATCCAAAAAGCAAATAACCCGATTAAAAAATGGGTGGAGGATATGAACAGAAAAGTCTCCAAAGAAGAAATTCGGATGGCCAACAGGCACCTGAAAAGATGCTCCACATCGCTAGTTATCAGGGCAATGCAAATTAAAATCACAATGAGATACCACCTCACACCAGTTAGGATGGGCAACATCCAAAAGACAAGCAACAACAAATGCTGGTGAGGATGTGGAGAAAGGGAGGAACCCTACTACACTGTTGGTGGGAATGTAAATTAGTTAAACCATTGTGGAAAGCAATATGGAGGTTCCTCAACTAGAAATAGAAATACCATTTGACCCGGGAATTCCACTCCTAGGAATTTACCCAAAGAAAACAAGTTCTCAGATTTAAAAAGATATATGCACCCCTATGTTTACTGCAGCACTATTTACAAAGGCCAAGATATGGAAGCAACCTAAGAGTCCATCAGTAAATTAATGGATAAAGATGTGGTATATATACACACAATGGACTACTATTCAGCCATAAGAAAACAAATTCTATCATTTGGAACAACATGGATGGAGCTAGAGGATATTATGCTCAGTGAAATAAGCCAGGAGGAGAAAGACAAGTACCAAATGATTTCCCTCATTTGTGGAGTGTAATAACGAGGCATAACTGAAGGAACAAAACAGCAGCAGACTCACAGACTACAAGAAGGGACTAAGGGTTACCCAAGGGGAGGGGGGGGGACTGTGGGTGGGGAAGGAGGGAGAAGGGGATTGAGGGGTGTTATGATTGGCACACATGGCATGGGAGTGGTCACAGGGAAGGCAGTGTAGCAGAGAGAAGACAAGTAGTGACCCTGTGACATCTTACTACGCGGATGGACAGTGACTGCAATGGGGTATGGGGCAGAGTTGTTAATATGGGTGAATGTAGTAACCACAATGTTTTTCATGTGAAACCTTCATAAGAGTGTTTATCAATGATACCTTAATAAACAAAATCATTGAGTCAAGGGAAAAAAAGAAAAGAGAGAGAATGGCTAGCCAACCAGACCAAGCCATAGCTAGCTTGCTTAAGGGCAGGTGAACCAATTGTCTCACACCAACCCAGGAAATACTACCTTTACAACTTGACCTGAGATCTGCTCTCAAAATTGTGAACATAGACTTGCTGGCTGTATCCAGCAGGGCTCTCCCCAGATCCCCGGACGTTTCCCGGGATTAGGAATTTGATTGTATAGTCTACATGGTTAGACTCCAATATTCTACTCCAGTGAGCTTGGGAAGATCCTATCTTTCTTCACTGTGGACACCGGGAAGTAAGCTTGGCTCGAAGAGTATCCTTTGTTTCGTACTCAAATTTGGCTGCCAGGAACAGATTTGCCAAGCTGGGCACTGAAAACTGATAGCACACCACTCCCTTTGGAGGCAAATCTCTACTGATCCCATATATTCCAGCTCCATGTAGATACCCAGTATCTTCTAGTATACATCGTCCCCAATCATCTCCCCAAATAGCCACTCTTTCCGAGATGGTGACAGAAACAGGAAACGAAACCTGAACTCCTCCAATCCAACCCTTTACCCAGCTCCGGTCTAAATTCACCTCCCCTGCCTCCAGTCTGAGCGTGGATGACCTCAGTTGCAGACCCTCGCCCGGCGCGGTCCGATGGCCTGGGGTCCTACTGGTCCTGACTTACCAGCCCCAGCCAGACAGGCCAGATCCCGCCCGGCCGGGATGCTCCTCAGACCCTGACCACTCCCGGAGAGGCAGGCGACAGAAGGGTCTGCGCACGGACAACCAGGGCGACGCGCAGACTACGCGCACGGGCACACATCCCTTGTCCACGGAAGGTGCTTCCCGGAGGCTGTCAGGAGGGAGCGCCCGGGTGTGAGGGGTTCCGCGAGGGCTCGGCCGCCCTTACGGATCTCACCTGGAGGGGCTCCGCCGAGGCCCAGCTGCGGAGGCACAGCCCTGGTGCCTTCTGATTGGCTCAGCCTCAGCCGCTCGCGTATTCGCTTCCGGGTGAGAGGTGCTTGGTCGCCTCAGCAACCGAGCGCGCTCAGAGCAGAGGCAAGCGCTTGGTTCCCACCGGCCGCAGACCTGGCGACCCGGGGGGAATCTCAGAGTCAAGCAAATCTCTCCAACACCTCTTTGTCAAGTGAGTGCCCCTCCTTCCAACGCCTCGAGCGGGAAGGGCGCTTGTTAGTAGAACCCCAGTACTGGTGTGACCTATTTCCTGAGCGTCTACACCGTGGGTGGGGTGGAGGCGCGCAGAGCCCCTGGCTCGGATTCTAGCTCTCATTCGGCCGTTGATTTGCTGTTGTGACACCTTAGGCCAACCGCTGTAGATTTCAGTCTCCTTTATAGCGCCATACGGTCTTCATGTCGTAGGTTCCCTCCAACTCTAACATTCCAGACTTCACAGTGTGGAACCATTTAAGGGCAACTGAAAACAACAGTTCGGTTTCTTGTATGATCAAGTTAAGGACTCTGCTTAATAAGCATTGAACGATTGCTTCCCAAGCACCTTTCATTTACTAGACATTAATTCCTGGTAGAAACTACTAAGCACTGAGCAGAACACTAGGGTGAGAAGAGTTTTGTCTAATCCTCCATGTCTGACATAAATAAAGTGGTTATTGAGATAGGGGAATCAGGCACAAAAGTGTTATTTTAACAGGGTCCTAAGTACTATAGTAGGGATAGGCTCAGAGTGTTCAGAGGGCTCCTGGAGGGGTTTGGAGGTGAGAGGAGTTAAGAAAGGCTTTGCGAAATCCTGCCATTTGAAACGACATAGATGGACCTAGAGGGTATTATACTAAGTGAAATAAGCCAGGTGGAGAAAGACAAGTACCATATGACTTCACTGTTTTGTGGAATCTAAAACCGAAAGAAAGCAAAATGAACAGAACAGTGATAGACTCACAGACAGAGAAGTGACTGGTGGGAAACGGGTTGGGATGGGTAGGTGGAGAGAGTGAGGAGGATAAAGGGGCACAAAATTCTCAATCATAATATGTTAGTTAGGTGGAGGGTAGTAGAGCATGGAGAAATAGCCAATGATTCTGAAACATCTTCCTCTGTTGACGGATAGTAAGTTTAGTAGTTGCAGGTGAGGATTTAACAATGTGTGCAACTGTTGAACCCCTGTGTTGTATACTTGAAACAAGTTGATATAAGATTGTATCAACTATATTTCAATTTTAAAAATGCAATACCAAAAAAAGGGGGGGTGCTCTGCTCTGGTGATGCCTCTGCTTTTTCTTTGCACCTCTTTCTGGGGAAAATTTTCAATCTTGTATTCCAGTCCACTCATTTACTTTTCAATTGTATCCATTCTGCTGTTCAGCCCTTCTAAGAAGTTTTATTTCACTAGTTATATTATTCATCTCCTAGATTGCTAATTTGTTCTTTTTCATAACCCCCTGTTCCTATCTCAAGGATACAACATGCACCCTTTCTCTCTGAGGATGTTGCAGTTTTTTAAAAGACTTCTACCTATTGTGTTATAATCTCTGTTTCCTCAGAAAGCATAAGCCTCTAGCCTTTCTCAACTGGCACCTAAATTAATTTTTAAATTAAAAATATCAGTTCTTTTGCCCTACCCCTAGAGATTCTTATTCAGTAGTATAGGGTAGGGCCTAGGAACTCACAGGCATCCCAGGTGATTCTGATGCATGGGCCATACATACTTTGAGTAATATTCTAGTAGACCCTATTGTCCTAGGAGTTAGGGTTTCCTTATGTTCTCTACACATTTTTCTTCAATATTGGAAAAAAATTAGTTTCTAATGTTTTAGTCCACTAAATGTCCCAGGGCTCTGAGACGTAGATTCTCCCCAGTCTTGTGGTTTTTCTTTCTTCCTTTTTTTAGTCTGGTCTCTGATCCAATTGCATTATTTTTGGGTCCCCCCTATCCCCATGCCTCCTCACCTATCCTCCATTTCCTCCTATTGTCAAATCAAAGATTCTTCACTCCTTACCTCTGTGAGACAATCAGTAGATCATACAGTCTCCCCAAGAGAAATCAAAATGTATGTCCACATAAAAACTTACACATGAATGTCCATAGCAGCACTATTCACAACAGCCAAACTAGAAACAACCCGTGTCCATCAGCTGATAAAGGGATAAACAAAACGTGTTATTTCTGTACACATTTGTATGGAATGGACTATTATTTAACAATAAAAAGAGATGAACTACTGCTACATGTCACAACATGGGTGAACCTTGAAAACACTATGCAAAGTAAAAGAAGCTATCACAGAGGACCACATATTATATGATTCCATTTATATGAAATGTCCAGAATAGGTAAATCCCTAGAGACAGAAAGTAGATTAGTGGTTGTCTGGGGCAGGGCTGGGGGTAGGGTGGGGAAGGGGATAGGGGGATTAGGGGAATGGAGAGTAACTGTTAATAGGTACAGGATTTCTTTTTGGGTGTTTAAAATACTCTAAAATTAGACTAGTGAGAGTTGCTATCTGATATCTGAATATTCTAAAAAACATTGACTTGTGTACTTTCAAATGTTAAGTTTTGTGGTACATGAATTGTATATTAATAAAGCCGTTACAATGAATAAACAAACAAATAAAAATAGATTATCTAGATAAGATTATTTCCCCAGGATCCTACACTAGACAATGGAAATGCCAAGTAATTATGATATGCTTGTGATCACAGGAAGTGATCACAACATTTGTTATATATAGGGCTTATGACATAAAAATATTATAAGTTTATGTGACTTTTCTTAAATCTTTTAAAACAGCTGCAGAAGTGTACAAGGTAAACTTTGTATTTCCAAATGGAGACAAGTACGGTAAGCATACATTTAAATTACCTTTTCTATATAGATTAAAATTAAATAGCTTAAGGGTGAAGAAATGAGATACTCGTATTTTATAAAACTACTATTGGAATATTAACTCCATTAACTAAAATAACAGAAATACTAACAGATGAACAGATTTTAAATCTAAACTCTAATGTTGAGTCTAGATGTATACCTTGGAAACCAAACCTATGGTATCTGTCAATTTTCTTGGCCCTTGAGTCTCAATGGTTACAAGCCATTCTAAGTCCACAGAGCTCCTCATCTCTGACTGGTTTTAGTTCCAGAGAGCCAAAGAGACCCACTGGGGTACAGTTGAGATAAGGATCCTGAACATAAATACTTTATTACTTAGTCAGACAGTGTTCCTATTTGTAATCTTCCATATTTCTCTCTTGTTTAGATGGTGACTGTACAAAAACATCTTCTGGAATCTTTGAGAGAAATGGAATAGGTATTCATACCACTCCTAATGGGATTATCTACACAGGAAGCTGGAAAGATGACAAGGTTATTGTTGTTTTGGATACTGACAGTGGATAAGTAAACCCATGGTTAAATGATTCCAGCCATTTCACCATTAATCAAAAACACATATGAGTAGACTATACAATAAAAATAATAAATGATTATATTTAACATATATGAACATATAAATAATATTAAATCCATGCAGAGAGCTAATCATTGTCATTATCGTCTTTCATCTATTCACTGAGAAAAGCTAAACTCATTACATAATTTTCCCATGTAATTCTTGTAGCAACCTCATGAGTTATGTACTATTAATACTCTTATTTTACAAATGAGGGAACTCAGGCTCATGTTTCTTGTCCAGCTAGTAAGTGATGAAACAAAAATGTGTACCGAGGTCTGCTTGAATACAGATTTTTGTTCGTGACAATTTATTTGCAGTATTTCCTGGGCTAACTAAACTGTTTGCACTTTAAGACTTCTGAGATACTCAAGGTATCTCAAGAACCCCTTTTATTATCACCATGGACCTCCTGGATATTTAAATGTCCCAGATCAAGAACATCGGACTTGGGCTTCCCAGAAAGGTACATATGAAGGACAATGATAGAAGTGTCTTTTTTTGGTGGAAATAAAGAGTGACTGACACAATGATAGATTAAGTAATAATTAAGTGGATGATAAATGTGTACATTTTTTAAGTGTTTTAGGGAAATTGAAGGTTAATTTTGAAGTCATTTCCTTTATTACAAACAGATGAATGGTTTTGGAAGACTTGAACATTTTTCAGGAGCAGTGTATGAAGGACACTTTAAGGACAATATGTTTCATGGATTGGGGACATACACCTTCCCAACTGGAGCAAAGTACACTGGAAATTTCAATGAAAATAGGTAGGCTTAAAATAAAAAGTCACTGTAGTTCTAAAAGGTTCATCAGGCATATTTGCTTAAATATTATATTTAGTTAATGCTAAATATTCTTTTATAATATATTTAATAAGAATTGTTGGGTTATCTTTTGGGGGAGGGGAAATGTTGCAAGAAAGGCTAAGACCATCACAAGCCTCCAAAAGAAAATATTGTTGGTGATAATCTATTTACTTTTCATTTATTCTCTCTTGACTCCTCTATTCCTATAGAACTTTTTGCAGTCAGCTTGGGAATAGAAAGCTTGTTGCAGTTATTGAGACAATTTAGGCCAAAAATTACTTGCATCTGAAATATCCTGATAAACTTTTTAAAAAGCACAATTTCATAATTGTTAATTTCATTTTGACCTGATATGTATGTACATTTTTACTAAGCTAATTTTTAAAAGGTAAGCAAAATTAGTTAATTTTCAGATGTAGAAGTATGCCCACTATTATCCTTTCTGAGCATATGCTTATAGGAAAAATGAAAGTGAAATGAGACATAAGCACAGCTTTACCACCTTAATCTTTACACTGAATACCATGCTACCTTATCCAGAGGTTCATACCCACTTACAAGTATGTCTTTATTATTTCCACAGTTGAAAATGCAAACTACCTGTTAGGAAGTGGTTGATATGAACACATTTGGAGGAGGGCAGAAAAGTGTCCACCTATTTTGATTCCAAATCTGGGGTGGTAACACATAAACTTTTTCCAGTGACATTAATAAAGAGAGAAAAATCTAACCCATGAGAGAAAAGTCTGTCTATGTAAAATGTATTTTCACCACTCCAAAGAGTCCAAGAAAACATGTGCATGAATAGAGCACAGAATCTCAAATATGGTTGATGATCAATAAATATTTGTTGAATAAATGAATGAACCAATATAAACTTTTCATTTTTTAACTGATTGTTTTGGTTTGTATTATTTTGGTTTGATTGTATAAATTTAGCCTTTGTGATCCTAAAATCTTGGACACCAAAATCTGTATAAGGACAATGTTTGCTTGGAATAGTAATACTTTTTGTAGGATAAGAAAGCAGGATGTGGGGTTTTAATTCAAAGTTTGAAAGTAGAAAGATATAAAATTTTCAGACATAGTAATAATATGCTAGATAATGAACTGTAAATTCTTGGTCTCAGTTAATAAATAAACTTATTTTTTTACTATTACAGGGTGGAAGGTGAAGGACAATATACAGATATCCAAGGACTAGAATGGTGTGGTAACTTTCATTTCACAGCTGCTCCAGGCCTGAGACTAAAGTTCCATATGTAGCTATCTAAATTAAAGCTTTAATGTTGTAAGCTTTCAGTTGTAAGGAAAACAAATGTGTCATCTGAAGTAACTTCAAACATTACCTCTGCATTATAATTTTGCCAATAAAACCACCACTCATCCCTTTTGGACTTAATTTTCTTCATTTTAGAATTAGTTTAAAATAAAGTAAGTGATCCATTTGAGTGTTTGTTCATTTTAATAAATACAGCAGAACTATCCAAATCTTGGCCAAGTCAGTTTCCAATCCTGTGCCTGAGCTTTGTCATCTTCAAAAAGTGTATCTATATGTTAAAGGAAACTATCAAGAAATAAAAAGATAATCCACAGAATGGGAGCAAATATTTGCAAATCACATTTCCAATAAAGATTTCCTTTACAGGATATATAAGGAACACATATATAAATGTTTATAAATAAAAAGACAACAATTAAAAATGGGCAAAGGATTTGAATAGGCATTTTCAAAGAATATAAATGAATATCTAATAAGTGAAAAGGTTCTCAACATCATTACTCTTTAGGCAAATGGGAATTAAACCTACAATAAGATACCAATTTACAATCAGTAGGATGGCCATATTAGACAAGATAGGTAATAACAAAAGTTGGGAATGTAAAATGGTACAGCCACTGGGGAAAACAGTTTCTCAGAGAGTTAAATGTATAGTTACTATATGACCTAGCAATTCCTAAGTATGTACCCAGGAGAACTGACTTGAACAGAAATGTTCATAGCAGCATCATTCATAACAGCCCATGTTGGAAACAACCTAAACAACTGATAAATGGATAAACAAAATGTGGCATATCCATACAATGGAATATCATTCAGGCATAAAAAGGAATGAAGTACTGATACATGCTACATGAATGAACCTTGAAAACGCTACTAAGTGAAAGAAGCCAGTCACAAGAGCCACATATTGTATGACCTTTATATCAAGCATTCAAAATAGGCAAATCCATTGAGATAATAAATTAGTGGTTGCCAGGAGAGTGAGAAATTGGGAGGCATGGGGTTTCTTTTTGGGGTAATAGAAATATTCTAGTTAGTGGTGATGATTCCACAACCTTGTGAATACTAAAAACCAGTGAATTGTTCACATTAAAAGGGCAAATTTTATGTATGGTATGTGAATTATATTTCAATTTTTAAAAAGTAGATTTGTGTGTTCTTACATATTCTATGCCTAAAAAGCATCTTTACCTTTTAGATAAAATAAGTTAAAAATCACCATGACAGTACATGACAGTTGCATGTTAAAAATTACAATATAGACCTAAGTATTTTTGCTGAAACTTTATTTCCCAAGTTGACAAAAATGGTTTAAGCAATAGAAAACTTCGGTGTCATATTTCTTCACTCAAAATCTTGTGAAAAACTACAAATCTGGGTTGAAATGTCTTTTAAAATATTGAAATAATTGTATTTTTGTTGATTTCTCAATAATAGCTTTGTATTTAATTTCATAAGATTCTGTAAGTATTCAAAGATACATTTTAAAAATTAGACATTTTTGGATTTGTTGCTTAACATTAACTGGTATGGTTTTACAATGAAATATTATTGTACTGGAATTTATAAGGAGCTTAATACTGGGCAAGTTAAGAGAATGTTTTCAGGGACCAGGATATATATTGCAAATTCAAAACCTGTAGAAAATGGAGAAAAACACATCTTTATTGCAAACTAAACTTTCCCCAATATTTTTCTTTGGATTATTTAAGGTATTTAGGATATGTACTTTGCTTTTAAAGTCTTTCAGTTTTTATTGGTATACAAATAACTTTCCAATGCTTAAGTTTCCAGTTTTCTGAGATATCAAAATCATTCCTTTTTTAAACAGTTTCTTTTACTCCTTGAAACTCAACACAGTTATTTGATTAGTTGGTGCTAGAATTTGACCTGGAGCTTATATAATTAGAAGAGACTCCAGTTTTCCTCATTTAAAAGCCTAGTTAGCATATGACAGTCTCGTTCTGGGGAAGTCAAACCTCTACTGCTTTTTATAACCTTTAAGTTAATTCAGAATCCAGATAAGCCTTGATCTGAGGATGATATAACCACAGCAAGCAACATGGGGTAGGTGTGTATTTTTATGTTCTTTGAGAGGCATTGAGAGGAGAAATATTTTCACAAAAGAAGAAATCCTATAAGTCTTTACTAATTTAGATTCAAAATATGCTAACATTTACTTAATGTATTCATTTAAAGAATTTCTATTCAAAAGTTATAACTGTAAAATACTCATTTTCTTGCTTAGTTTTTATATTATGTCATAATCTGCCTTTGCAGATTGTCAATTAATGAAGTATTTGGGGACTGAAGAGTTTTGCATATTTACAGATTTTGTTGAAGCTGACTTAAATTTTGAGAGCAATTTTAAAGAATGATAGGATTCTTGATTTACAAGGCAGATAAATCCAACATGTATATGCTTCTTCGGAATTAAGAATAAAGAATAAAAAAGATTAGGAATGGAGGGAGATTGATTTATGACTTTTGTAACACAAAAATGGGATAGAGGGTTCTATCAGAGTTTACTCCTCTATATACCAAAAAATGTGTGTTGATTAAATACAGGGATATTAGTGAAACTTAATTATAAACCCCTTTGCCAAATTTTAGGAGCATGATGAGAAGAATCAGGTTTCACTTGAAAGCTCTCTCTTCTTAAGTGAGAAAAGGTTTGCATTATAATTAGTGTTGGAAATATGGGTTTTTTTATGCTGAAACAATAGTATTCTGCAATTATAGACATTAGCCTTTTTGTTACCCTTTTGGCTTTTAAAAATAGTTTCTTTCAATACAAAATTATATTGCTGTAAATGGTATAGCTATTTCACTGAAGGTATTTCTGAAGGATTTAACCTAAATGATCAGAAATTTATACTAGAGAAATAACATTTTTGCACACATTTGTTCTAAACAGTTTCCATGAATTTAATTAATATCTACATTTTTGTTAATATCTGGGCTCTGAAAATGCAGTCTAAACCAGTTTGAAACCTCAGAGGCATTTGAAAGGAAGTCATGATCATGCTATTGTTAACTTTTAATACAAATATAAAAATTAACAGATTAAATGCCTTGTACAAATTTCATACATTTGGTAGATTTGATTTGGGACAGAATTGATGCGACTTCTATATTCTCTTTATTTCCTCTCCTTCCTTCTCTCTTCTCTGCGTATGAAAGTGAACAGCAACACAGGTCACTAATAAACTCCAAGCAATGGGCATACAGTGTCTTCCTTTCTTCCTCTCTGCTGGTCTCTCTCCCTCTTTCCTTCCCTCCCTCTATTCTTTTTTCTTTAATGATAGTAGTTCTTAATGTTTTGGGGTGGGGGGCAAGAAAGGGGGTGGTCATGGATCACTTTAAGAATCTTTGGAAACCAGCATTCTCTACAAAAAAAATGTAAAATCACACAAAATTTCACCAAAACTTTCAGGAGATTTACACATGGCCCAAATCCCAATCTAGGGACCCCAGGTTAAGAACCTTTGATTTTGAGTTTTAGGACTAGAGTATGAGTTGCTCAATATTTTCCTTAGATTCTGGATTTTTATAAAATGTAAGAATTTCTAATAGTTCCTGCTAATCTTCTCTTAGAGACAATGTTAGAGATGCTGATTCTGCCACTGCCTCCCAACACACACACACACATGCATATTAGAATGAAATACAGTTTAACTGATATGCATAGTTCTGACAATCACATTACTGCTGCTTGTCCCCAGTGACTTGGATTAATCACTTGTGCTTTCAAGATTGCCAGGAATCACCTTAGGAATCGTGGAAGAAAAAAATATTTTAAGGAACTTTCAGTGCCCCAAATAAGATAACTAAACCTTAAATTGCTAAATATTACATAGGACGCTCTCTGACTGGTAGGTTGATGATTATTTTGTTGTTTGCTCCTGCCCTTACTGAGAAAAGAGAGGTTGGTAGGTATTAATGCCCATTTAAGTCTTCCTAAAGAAATCAGAAAATTAAAAGAGAATGTGGCAGCTTATCACATGTTCAAATTCATGTATTTGAGCAAACTTCTAGAATTTATCCCCTCACAATCAGGAAGAGGCTGTTTAGGGTTTTTTGGGGGGCGGAGGAAAGGGCTACTTACTTCAAAGCCATTTGAGAATGCCATTAATATGGGTCTACGCCAGCTTTTTCCATTTTTCCTCGGGCTATGCTGGCATGGTTTTAGTGAGAAATAAAGAGGCAAACAAAATTCTTACACTCTGTAGAAAGCCTCCTCCTAAATTTTCACCAGATTTTTTATGGAGTGGATGGGTGGGTAGGTAGGTGCTGTGAATAGAGATGGCACATAAGGGTGGTCATCAAGGGATAACTGGGGAGAAGTGGAAGAACCTCACTTTGTAACGTGCCCCAACATCTGCTGTTTACCCCAACACCAGGGCAAAGGATGAGCAATGGGAAAGAAGGGATGGCTGCATTCTTTTTCTGAAAAACCTTTTAAGACTCTTTGTCCATCTCATAGCACTTAGTGCATTCCCATTTGACATCTAGAGAAAATAAAAGTTACGGCTCTGCTAAAATTGTAAGTTCATCATTACAGCATATTCTGCTTCCTTTTAGTTTCTCAGTTCAAGTAAGTAGAGAGTAATTTTTCTTTAACGGGTGTATTAGAGTAAAAATTCTTTAATGGTTATATTCTCTACTTTTGAATCTAAGAATCACAATTCAACACTTTATACTGGGCAAAGCATACATTTAGCTCATGTTGTAATCTTTGAAATGTTGCTTCTATCTGCACCCTCCTTTCCTTTCCAATAGTCACGTCCCGAATTCAGGCCATCATTCCCTTTATTAGGATTGTTAGAGGTGCCTACTCATCGGCCTCTATGCAGCTGGTATTTCCACCAGGAAGAGGAGGCATCTTCTTACCGAAGACATGTGATCTGGTTACTCCATTGCTTAAAATTTTTAAAGAACTCCTTATTCTCTCTGCTGCAAAGCAGGCTTTCAATAAGATAGATTTTAGGCACTTATACTTTTCTTATTGCATTTATCACAATCCATTACATGCCATAGTTTTGTGTTTGTTGTCTCTTCTTCCCTACTACACTGTAAGCTCCTTGGAGGAGGAAATGTCATCTTTATATTTCTTCTAGTACCTGGCACAATGTTTTTTAAATAGTATGTATTTAATGATGCTTATTTGAATGAACTGTTTTTTTATAATCACAAAAAAAGCTAAAAACTTAATTTTAACCAAAAAAATCCTTCTTCTTCCCCAACAAAGTGGCCCCATTTTCCAAGTTCCTATCTGTAGAACTCGAATGAGTGTATAATATCCAAAATATGAGTGACACAAGGGAGACCTGGTAAAAAAACAAGTACTGGAGTGATACCGTAGAGGCTTATTAAAAGTGGAAAATTTGTTGTTTATAAGTAGAAAGCACACCTAGTCTCACAGGAAATGAGAAAAAACTTATAAAAATTAAAAATAATTCTTGGTTCTAGACAATTTCCTAGAGGGTAAGCATATCAGTAAGACTGGGTTCATCTATATATGATGGAAAGAATAAAATCATAGTGGCTTAAACAAACCAGAAGTTTATTTCGCTCTTACATTAAAAAACAAACAAACAAAAAAACAAAGGCAGTTCAGAGCTGTTAGAGCAGGTCCTTGGTATGAGGGACCCAGGTTCCTTCTATTTTGCTTTTCTGTCCTTCTTAGTATATCCTTTCTTGGTTCTTGAGGTTTCTAGGACTCCACCTAACTCATCAGCAAGCAGGAAGGAGAATGGAAAGAAAAAGATGTGTTCTCTCTTTTTTAAGACTTTCCAGAGGTTACTTACACTATTTCTATTTATCCCTCATGGGTAGAATCTTTTCTCTTGGTTACCCTCAGCTTTGAAGAAGGGGGAATGTAGTTTTCAACTGGGTTACTACAAAAAAAAGAAGGAATGGATACTGGGTGGCAACTAGCAGTGTCTGGCAGAGTCACTATCAGGCCTTACCTTGCCTCTTATATTGCTTCAGGACAAAGAACAGCATTATGCTCCAAGAGGAACCTTATAAGAAATATTTTCTGTCAAGTTAAGAGAAAAAAAAAAAGAGCAAGACAGCTAGGAAAAAAACCATAGATTTACTTAGGATAATGGACAGGATCTTGACAAAATGACAAAGGTGACTAAGTTAGCCTTTGGTTCCCCTACTGTACATCCGAGCCTCTGGCCCCAGCCCTTATCTCCCTTAATCCTGCCATCTGCACTGAGGTGACTGTGATTATTACTAATGCCAGTTACACAGATCAAGGAACTGAAGCCCAGAAAGATTCAGTAACTTGGCCAAACTGTCCAAGAAGCTTCAGGTAATAAAAAATAAATAAAGTATATAGTTGGCTTGGAACATGCTGTACTGCTCACAAAAAAACAAACAAACCATAAATCATAGAATGTTCTCCAAATAAATGCATTTATACTTAATTTTGACTGTAGATCACCTCAATTAGCCCCCTACAGAAAAACATTACAAACCTATTTCACTTGTCACTTGAAGTAGGCGATTTCATTTAATGTGGGATGCTTAGGAAAATGTCTAGATTAGTGCCTTTCATTATTTTTAGGGTCAGATGAACTGCTTTGAACTCTTCTGATTCAGCAAAGCCACCTAAGACATGATGGAGTATCAAGCTATGTTTTTAAATACATAGGAATTAATTTTTATTAGTCACATCAAAGATACAAATACTGAGGTGGTGTGTCTGCTTAACACCAAGTGACTTAAAAAATTAAAGTCCTTAAGAAACAAGGACTTTTACTTTTTACCTTGCATATTTTGAACTATTTTTAACAACAATAAATTGTATATATAATAAAAAATCTTTTAGTTATAAAATTACAGGAAAAAAGGATAAGGTACCTGTCATCAATGGTATTTATTTTTTATAGAACCTCTAGAGAAAGCAGGAAGACTTCACAAAATATGATGTGATGTCTACTGGTGGAGACAGGCCATGAGGTGAGTGAAAACAGAAAAGTACTTGTTTCTAGTAAAAAAAAAAAAGTACTTGTTTCTCAGTTTCCCATAAACTGAGAGCTTAGTTTAAACAAGTATACTTGTACTTAGTTTAAACCAGTACTTGTACTTCATTTTTGAAGTACTATACATTGCTTTGAAGAATTTTGTAACCTTTCTTTCTTTAAAAACAAGCAAATACATTATGGGATCTCTTTATTGTTATCATCCAGGGCTAATAGCCACCTTACAAACTAGCTATGTTTTTACATTAGACTTTTACTGTAAATATGAATGTTTATTCACAGTATTGAGACAAAATGAACTGTTTTCATTGAGTTCTATTTTGGATGTCTTTGGGGACTGCAAGAAAAACTTAAACAAAATTTACATTCAACTAATATTTACTGAGTCCCTACATTTATGCTAGGTTTTGTGACATAATAATTATGTGGGATAGGTTAAATATTACCCTCGTTTTACAGCTGAGGAAATGTAGGCTTATAAAGGCTAACTAGTGTTACCAGGATCACAAAACTTAATAAGTAGCAGAGCTGGGATTTGAAGCTAGATGTCTCGTGCACTTAAGAAAGAGGTCCCATAGTTTAAAACAGTATTTTTAAGTTTCAGAATTAAAAAGTATGCATTGAAAAACAAACAAGCTTGATCAAGACAGAAGAGCCTAAGCAAAGTCTGAAAGTCTATACCACCCCTACCCCCACCCACCTTTCCAAGCTTAATTACTATTAGTAGTTTGACATAAATCCTTCCATATCTTTCCTTTGTTCAGGTAATTTTTCACTGTATCACACTTCGTGTCTACTTAAAAACATCAATGAGTAGAGGAGGTTGAATTTACTATATATCTACTCGTATAAACATTTACCTTTAAATAATAACTGAAATGCTCATTCAGCTAACACTAGGCATCAAACTGTAGGCTCAAGGAAGAGCAGAACGCACTTCCTGTTTCCAAGGGACTGATAATCTAAGGAAGCGGTTCCTACTCCGGCTCAAGAGAGTAAACGTGGGTTCCTTTAAGAGTCTGGTGTGAGCTCTGAACCTTCTCCCCAGAAAAAAATGGACCTATATAAAAATTTGCCTGTAACTTAGGGGTTTCATGGACACTCTGAGAGTAGATAGACCACTCTTGTAGAAGTAAGATTTTAAAATTAGTAATTTAACTTAAATTCTATAATAGCACTGTGGGCAAGATGCTCTGGCAGCACAGCAGAGCAAGGACGTGACTTGTACAGAATCTGGAAAGACACAAGGAGCTTGACAGCTAGTCCAGGGCAGGGGAGAGGATGTTCACCAAGGAGCAGCATTTATAAAGCCCAGAGGCGAGAAAGCACAGGAAACCACAAGAGCATCTTTGTGATGGGGGCCCAGTGTGTGAAGGGGGGTGACTGACAATGAGGGTGCAAAGCTGGCTAGAAGCCAAGTAATGAAGGTGAACGTCTACCGTATTGGGACGTTTGACATTTAGGAGTCACTGAAGGATTCTGATCAAGATTTTCATAGGTAGGTATGAAGTCTATAACTAATGCACAACTAAATAAATGATCATGGGAATAATCATAAGATAAAAAGGATGAAAGACAATTCAGATTTGTTGGGGGATTGCTGATGATCATATGCTCCTATAAAGCTATGTTGCTAAAAGTCAGATGGAATTCATTAGAAGGTCATTGCTTTTACAAGGGAAATTGAGAGAATAAAGCTCTGAGACAGTACTTGTAAGATGAAACTCAGAATTCAAGCAGCACATTGGTCCCCTTACTGCAGTGAGTCTCATGCATAATCAAGCTAGTGTCAGTCACTCAGGGTTTATGACTCCCTCCTGGTCTGTCACACCCCCACACCCTCTGCTGTCCTCCAGGAACTCCTGATGGGCTATTTGGTTTCCTATTCCGTGCAAGAGCAGGAAAAAGAAAGAGGGTAAAATGGGCCAAGTTCTCAATATTTGTACACTGTGCACGTATCCCTTTTATAATTATTTTTGTAACTTAGGTTTTAAAGTAATGTAGTTTAAAGCAAGCCTTACAAATAATATCATAGCTGGTTCATTTCTGTTTGGATGTACTTAGCCTAATATACCTAACTAAAAATCCAATATTAGTCTCACCTCCTACTTCTTGGCAGTGGCTTCATAACTGAGGCAAGACTGTAATGTCTCAAGGATCTTTTACTAGATAAGTTTTATTTCTCATTTAATATTTTACTTAGCAAATGCTATAAAGTCTTTGAAGACTAAACTTGTACATATATTGCATATGCAACTTTGTATATATGATGTGTCTTGCTAAAGGGTAGTGCTCCAAAAGATTTCTCAATCTACATGTTTAGCTAGTAAACTTTTGTTAAAACAAAATTTGCAATTTAGGGGAAACAGCATTGATTTTTCCAGCTTGCCTTTTCTATCTCATTAAGTTAAAAAAAAAAATGAATCTCCTTGAATGAATAAAGTTCTGTTTTGTTCTTCTTCCCCAGATTTATTGAGGTATAACTGACAAATGAAATTCTAAGATTCTTAAAGTGTACAAGGTGCTGATTTGATATACATATATATTGTGAAAGGATTCCCTCATGGAGTTAATGGACACATCCATCATCTCACATATTTAACTTTCTCTTTTCAGTGAGAACATTTATGTTCTCTTAGCAAACTTCAATTATACAATACAGTGTTATCAACTATAGTTACCTTGTTGTACATTAGACCCTCAGGCAAAAATCATCTTATAACTGAGAGTGTGTGCCCTTTTACCCACCTTTCCCTACTATTTTCTTTAGGGAGAGAGATCCTTAACCATAAACATCCCCTGAAATTTAATTAAACTCAATTCAAACTTGTGTTAAATGCCCACTGCAAAAAGTTCTCAAACTTATCATGTCAGAAGAATGTGAACAAATGATATGTGTATTTATCTTTAACACTCAATCTAATTCTACATGCTTCTCTGTAAAACATATGGGCATTTAAAAATATATGATAATTTTTAAAATTGCTTACCATTGAGTAAAATTGCTACTATAAGGAGATAATCTGTGTTTATCCTGAGGCTTAAAGTCCAGCACTCTAGTTTGATAAGAACCAGATACCCTCCAGGTACAAAGGATATGAATAAGAAATGGTCCCTGCCCTCATGGAGCTTATAGTGTTGTGTGGGAAACAAACATAGAGACCAGTGTCTATAGTTCCCAGCAGGGAGGGATACTAATAATATGGCATGAGAACGTAGTAGAAGAGGGATTGACAGATGATGACTTGGAGGATAGGGGCAGGCTTCATAGAGAAGCAGGTGCTTGAACTGAGCCTTGAAAGATGAGAAATGTTTCATTAGGTAAGGAAGGGAATTTGAGGCATAGAGGATGGGAGGAACAAAGCTGCAGAGGCAACTGCTTGAGGACATGCATGAGCTGTGATCATTAGCACATCTGTATCACATATATTAACTACTATAAAGTTTAATTTGAAATATTGTGAGATAGAAAAACAAATCAGGTAAGTTCAGCCAGTGCAGTCATTCATTAGCTGTTACAAGTCGCAAAATCATATTAACTGATGTCTAACTGGCCATAGGGGCACATGGGGTGCCCCACCTAGGCCACTTCTCCAAGGCTCAGGAGAAGAATGGCCTGGAGGATATGGCGAGGTAGCACTTGCAGAGCTGATGAGCTAGAATTAGTGAGGAAGGGCTCCTGAGATATAAAATTAAGATCTTAAGATATAAAACAGGAAGAGTTGGATCAGGAAACCTAAGGCAGGCTAAAAATCTGGCACTCATTCAAACAGGTTTTCTTTCAATATTCAGCATTTGAATAGAGGAGAGACTGATCCCTTGGTGGAGGATGGGTGGAAAAGAAGGACCCCCAAAGCAAAGGAGGCCTCCCAACCTCTAGGACTCCCATCCAGGATCAGTAGCAGTTCAAGTCTGGCCTCTCACTGGCTACACGGCTCACTAAAACAAAAATCCTGTAAGAAAATCACACTACCCTTCTCAGAAGGTTTTTTGGTGACCATTTGCTGCTACTCAAGACAGCATCTAAGATAGCTCATCACCACCAACTCCAAACACATACATACACATACATGCCCTCAAGGTGTTTATTGAAGTGTTCCTTTCAATCAGTCAAGGTATTTCCTTGACAGGAGCCATGATAAATATAGTTTTCCCCCCTCTGACATTTCCAGGGATCTTCTAGTACTCTAAGATTGGTGCATGTGCAGCTCCTTAAATCCAGCTGTTACTCCATTTTCAGACCTGAAATTGCCAAGCAATTGATTGCTGGGAGCTGGGGGCTCCCTTCCTCCCCACAGCTGGGCTGAGGCTGCCTCTGGGGATGCAAGCTCCCGATTCTGGCTCTCACAGTGGTAAAAGTACCTACAAGTTACTCACCTCTGAGCTAGGTGCTTCAGACCCTGGAAGGAACTTAACATAAGGTCCCTACCCTTGAAGACATTTGAATCTAGATCTCTCAGGAGGACCCAGCATTTGCTTTTTCTTTTACCTCTACTGATCTTAGACTAAGGCTTCCAGCCTTATTCTAGGCCATACTGCAAAGAATAGCAGTGATCATTATCAGAGATATAATCATACCAGAGACTGAGCTAATCAGATTCTTAGTAATTAATTACTCTTAGTTAAACAATTTCCCCAAGATAAACCAACTATTAAATCATGTATCTGGGATTTGAATCCAGATTTTCCATACTTCAAAGCTCAGATTCTCCATCCCCTGTTGGTACCAAGCCTGGCTCTCAGTGTTGCTCCTAACTAGCTACAGTGTTAGCTGACAACAGAGTAAGGTGTGTTACAAAAAAGTTCTCAAGATCTGCAGGAATAAAGTCACAGTGCCAGTGCCAGGCAGTGAGGCTGACACATTTGGCCAAGGGGCTGACCTGACAGCCGTTGCAGTCCACTTACTTACAAGGCCCACCTCCCTGAGATTAAAGTAGTGTTATTCCAACGCCGTAATTACTATATTTGTACAAGAAA